GTTACATGGCAACTGCATATTATCTCTTTAGTATGGTTAAAACAGGATCATATTGTGACTCAAAAGTGAGGAGAATATGTCTAAAACATTTCATTTAAAATGTCCAATTGAGTTTATTTAAGATAGACACATTTACAAAGTTACCCTTTCAGTTGCTCTGGCATCACCTCGACGTTTGGCTGCCATCTCAGCTGCTTTCAAATTAGCAAGTCTTGCCTTTAGTGCATGGTAATCCATTATGACAGTCTTTACCTAGTGAGTGATAATTGATAATGCAATCAGCCACATGTAGTAGTACAAAATTAACATCAACAGTACTTTTGCAACATATGTCAATAACAAGTGAATTGGATACATCACTTCGAACGAAAGACTAGACTTTTATCAACGCCCATTGACCCTCTTGTCATGAATATTAACCACAGACTATTGTGGCTGACGTAATCCTATCTTGAAAATCTCCAGCAGCGCCTCGAAGAAAAGTTTGCGTGATCTAAGTTTGCGTGACAACTACAAGTGAGATTTATTTTAAGAACTCACGACAGGTTGGCATCACGTTTCAGAGCGTGGCGGGAAATGAGGCAGTGAAATAATAACCAGTAAAATGTAAGTTTCAGATGAGCGGGCAGAAGGGCCTGAACTTTACAAAAAGACTTCTGTTTTTTCAGTTGACTATGACAGGAATGGGAAATAATGACCCTCTGTTACAAGTAACATACAGATGACGCTTAACTCAGTGCTCTTTAAGTTGCAACATGATCTCCAGAAGAATTGCTTGTACAAATGCAAAATTTGCGCAAATGAAGTTTTAAAGCTTACTGCAAGAAGAAAACTGATAAATTCAAGCCATAACATTTAACTGAAAGTCAGATTTTTATGTTGCTAATGTTTCATCGAGAGCGAGTTAATTTGCGAACAAAACTTTTCTATCACTGTAGATCAGACCTTCCATTTTGCACATCTTTCGAACAAGACGATCCAAGATCGTAAGTCGGGCTACAGGGCCGACGTGCTGTTATGAGTGTTGACCATTCGTGGTGCGAAGTGGTTCTAAAAGAAATACTAAGGAGGTACCAAGGTCCTAATTTGTAGGCGTGGGATAAAATTTGTTTTCAGCCCCGAGAGACACCAATTCTACAACAACGCACTGTCACATATTTTTGGTGCAATGCCCTAAAAGGTATCACAGAAGCTGCTACTATTTCAGAAAATCGAACTCGCCAAGTGAGCTCAAATTTCTTGTTCAAAAATTTAAAAATATGCAACTTGTCGTATAATTCGTTAAAAGTTAAGTTGAATCTTTCTTTAGTAAAAAAATAAGAAAAAAAAAAACACTATACCTATGTTTGTCTCTGATAATTTCATCTTTGTCTTTCTTTTTGAGGAAGCTTAACCCTATTTGATTCATTTGTGAGATTGTGTTAAGTTTTTACGACAACTGCCGCTCAAGTAGATTCGATATACTGTCTGCAGAGGATATTTGGGCGTAAAGAACAGCGGAAGACTTCGCAAAATCGTTTGGGTATGCCTTTGTTTAACTAAGAACGACAAAAAGGAGGAAGAGCAGTCTGTCAATATGACACTATGCGACGACTTAATTTCAGGATTGCATATGACTTGCTTAAACGAACAAGTTAGATCGGAAGACCCATGCAACGCTGAATTGTAATATCAGTAATAAAGTAATGAATTGTACTTACAGCGGCGACCAATTCAGCAAAGTAGTGATACTATTCCTGAAATAAAGAGTTATAGTACTTGTCTGTAATCATCCGGGGGCTGAACTCGAAAACGAAACTAGTCATAGTCCCCTGACGCATGCGAGCTCTATTACGTCGTGGCTTTTTTTGATACATCACTCTTAGCGAAATACTATACTTTTATCGATATATGTGTAGACCCTCTTAACCTCAAGCTATTGTGGTCAATGTAACCTTGTCTTGAATGTCTACCGCACCACCTTGAAGAAAAGTTTGCGTGATATAAGTCTGCGTGACAACTAATAGTGAGATTTAAGTTTAGAACTCGCGCGATTTTCTAAACACAGGTTGGCATCACGTTTCAGA